CAGGAATCTCTTCACAGCATCTTCTGGGTTAGAAATGGCAGTTACTTAAGAGAGCAAATAAAGGCTCCACTTTGCAAGAGGTTCAGATTGGGAAGGAGCCAAAATACCATATCCAGCTGGAACAGCAGAGGTAATTAAAAGGGCTGGAATAGAGGTAGCCATCTGTAATTTGGCCAGGAAATCGTAATTTATATTCACACTCTTCTCAGAAGTGCTATTAGGATGTTTAACAATGACAAACAATAGAACCCTTAAGTTTTGGTTTTCATCAAGAACATGGCCCATCCAGAAACTCAGCACCACCTAACCATAAGGTACAGTGCTGATTTAGTGCACAGCTAGAAGACTCTTCTTCCACCATGCCTACTACATCACCTCCTGTAATACTCCTGAGATCTCTGAATCACAGGATTCAGAGACCAGGCCTCACACCTCACTTAGTTTCTGAAACATGACAAAAAACACAAAAAAACCAACAAAAAACAAAGCCTCTCTCAGAGGAATTTTGGAAGATATGTTATTAATGACATCTGTAAGGCACTGAAATAGCACAGTAATACAGAAACATCTATAAATAAGCCTTACTGTACTGACAGTATACTGGCTGCCTACTGCATCTCATATTAGGGAGGAAATCCAAGACAGAATATGAATTTCTGCTCTGAAAAACAGTTTCTCCATCCTAAAAATCTAAGAATCAAGATGGAGCCAGACCATGTAAGCCCAAACACTATTTCCTACTCTCCTCCTGTAGGGCACCTGTTAGACGAATGCATTCACACTGGTGCATAAAGTGTTCATTAACTTTCCAAGCTAGAAACCTGGTGCAGTGCAAGTCCTAGAGAGCGCAAGGCAAATGTTTTCAAGGAGCTAAGCAGGAGACATGATAAAGAGCAAGACAGCTTCTGCAGCCCTTAGGGGTACTAACAAAAATCTGTGGAATACACAAAGTCAGTCCTGGATCATTACTTAACAGGTCAAAAAATGGCAGTGACTTATGGTGACAGATTGATAATACAGTCAGAAATACCCAGGAAGAGATGTTCTACAGCAAATTTTAGAGAATCACCTACAGCAGACTGAAGCTAAACTCACAAAATTACAACCAGTGTTCTATGCTGATCCTTTCAATATGGTCACCACCGACCCAATACACAGACAGACAAAATTATTTAAAACATCCTTACCTATCTAACTAGCATCTAGGACTATAACAACACAGGACATTTAAAACAGCAAAACCAAATAGTTTGTCCCTACATGTGCTGTTTCTTTAAATCAAGAGTAGGCAACGTTTTTTGGCTGGAGCGCTGAAAAAAAACACAATGTCTACCTTGGAATGTGCCGAAGTGCCGGCATGCCAGAAAAACAAAACGAGGGCAGGAGGTACATGGCAGGATGCACCGCATATTAGTATAGTTAATCATCATAAATGTTGCCCCCCCCCCTTTTTTGTTTGTTTGTTTTTTGGTTTTTTTAAGGTAAATACCAGATTTTCTAAACACTGTAAACCTGGTGACAATAAATAAAACTTCTGCTACTACCTTCGATTTTGTGTATTTGTTTTGTGCGGGTCCCCCCACAACAGCCCCCCCAGCCCTGCTCCTGCCCCTTGCCCCCCAGCCCTGGCTCAGTGGTTATCAGCAGCTGCCCAGAACCTGGGACAGCTGCAGTGGGAGGCTGCAAACAGCTGCTGCCTCCCTGTCCTGGCCGGGGCTTTGGGAAGGCAGCAAATGCTGGCACAATGACCACTGGGGCTGGGCGGGGAGGCAGCAGCTGTTTGCAGCCTCCCAGCAGCAGCCGGCCCAGGCTTTGGGGTAGCTGCTGCCGGCCAAGGGGCCTGGGGCGCCTGGGGCCGGGCTGGTC